CACTCCCACCACCCACTACCACCACCCACCACAACTACCCACTACCACCATTTTTTATATCATGTGATTTTTAAAGTAAAAAATTTTTTTTTGAAAATTTTTTATATTATTTGACTTTTAAAATATAAATTTTTTTTTTAAATTTTTTATATTATGATTTCTAAAATAAAAATTTTTTTTTGACGCACCATTACCCACCACCACCACCCACCACCACCACCCATTGGGGAAAAGAAGTGTCAACGCAGGTTACACGGCAATTTTAAGATAGGATTTTTATTCGTAAAGCTGGAAATATTGATTTTTAATTTTATTTTGATATTATCTACTCGACGCGTGTCTTTTAAGTTTATCGTAATTAAATAATCGAAGATAAATGATTAAATTTTTTCTGACAAGATAACAGATTACTAATAAAACAATGATTTTTTCAAAATAAATATTTTAATATTTTATTTTTTAATTAAACTTTAAATTTTAACCCTCTGAAAATCTTAAACTTGAGGTGGAAAATACAGTTAGCCGCATACATACATCATACATACAGATAGACATATACACATATATATATATATATGTGTGTGTGTGTGTGTATATCAATTCTCACCTGAAGTTCCAGTAATTTTTCGGCTTGATTTTACGCTTTGTATGAGTACGAGCATATGGATTACCACGCGCGTTACCGAGCCATACATCGTAGCCCGCGTCCGCAAGTATAAATCCTAAAAATCAAAATCAAAATACAATGATAAAAGTTTAGTACACAATTAAGAAACAAAAATTGATAAACATTATTGAAATAATGTGTTTTTTTTTATTTAGTTCAGATACATTTATCTTTATTTTTATTTAGCTTGGGTACAATATAAAAAAAATGCGAATTTGAATTCCGAAATAGCATTAGGATGATCTTTGCGTAGTTATCTAATATTATATAAAAAATATTTTAATATTATTTTTTCTTTCACACATACTATTAATTTATGATGTTATATTATTAGAATCGGAAACTCTTTCTTGATATTTTGCCCAAAAAAGGAACTTAATAAAATACGACTGGATAAAAATAATATTAATAATACAAATAAAAAATAATAATAATCCAAAAATATCTTTTCTCATTTGAAAACTAAAATATTTTGACACTAAATCGTGCTTTCTTTACCTAAACTTTTTTCACGGCCGGAAAGAACCCACGACGACGAGTCGCACAAAAGACCGTGCATCACAAATGCAACGGGTTTTTGCACTTTTGAGTCGGTAGAATTAGCTCGTCCGTTTATTCGATGCAGTTCCAAAATATAACCATCAGAAGTAGTCACTTTATGCATTTCACCATTATAGCCGTATTTGCTTATCAATTCCATCTATAATAGAATCACAGCTTTCTAATTCAAATTCGTTCGTACTGTAGAATTAATATAATTAGCTCGAAATAAGATTATTATTAGTAAAGCGATTAAGCATATAATTAATATATTGTATGAATTTTGTGCGTGTGTGTGTGTGTGTGTGTGTGTGTGTGTGTGTGTGTGTGTGTGTGTGTGTGTGTGTGTGTGTGTGTGTGTGTGTGTGTGTGTGTGTGTGTAGAATTAATTAGAAGATATAATTTTCCTCAATCAATTAATTACTACGTAAATTAAATAATTTAAGAACTATTTAAGAAATTAATCACGTCTTGAACATGATAAAAATTACTTTTTTATATAATTTCTAATTCGTTTATTTCTTAAATTTGCTTCTAATTTATTGCGCAAATTTGTGTTCGCTAAAAAGCAATGATTTCACTTACCGTGGTAAGATGTGCATCATCAGGAACCGTAGGTGTTAATATATCCGGGATTTCTGGTATCCGTTCTAATGGATTCAGTTTCGGTACTAGGTCTATCACACCACTCAACGAATTAGCCTCGGAATTAGCATTTGTGGATGCCAGGATCGAGACAAGAAATATCGGCAGCAACATGATAGTTCGATCGCTGTTGTGCAGGTCGATGAAATCAAAAAGAATAAAGTGGACTATTTTCTTAAACGCAAGTCATTTATATATACAGTGCTGTCGTTTGTGTATGATAAATAATGTCAGAGTGTCTGGGGGTTTATGCAATCTTTTTCAATGTCATTTGTTAATTTATTATACTTTCTGCTTGAATAATGAATAATGATCCACGTGGTAAATCGTAATTGACGTCGTGAAAAAAAAAATAAAAGATTCGTGGACCTTATCGCTGTCCAAGTGGATCGATTATTTACTTACGAAATGACATAGTATTTTGCAGACCATTCGCACGTAAGTGCATACCTAAGTGCGTAAGTGCGGTCATGCATTTTTATCAGATTAAAAATTCAGCGAAAGAATTGAAAAAAGAGTTACCTTTTAATATTACTTAAAAGTAAATCGTGAATAGTCAAATCCTTTGCAATGCTTCGAAATCATCTAATCAAGATCTGCAATATCAAAGATATATTGAATTACTGAGAATTTGACATTGTCTAAAATTAATAAACTATATAAGTTCATGAACAGTTCTAAAACGAGTAATGCACGTATATTTATACTTATTGATCAAATATTTTACGTAAATATTAAACCGAAGAATATTAAAAGACATCAAAGGTCGAATGAGACGTCAGATAGGTATTGGCAAAAGAAAATGAGCATTCCGAATGTTTTAATCTCCAAAGTTTATTGCACCTGTATAAATATTCCATTGTTTATGCATTTAGTATCAATTTTTGTTTAACATTATGTATATATGTGATTCTTATGCAATATATTTATTTATATAAATTGAGATGTTAATTCTAATAGTATTCAATCGCCGTGCGCAATCCTGCATGTTTGTTTTCGACCTGATTAAGAGCATAAAATTAAATTTTCTTCTGCTATATAACATGTAAAATATGAGTGTGTTGATTGTATATTGTGTTGAAAAACTTGGAAACAATTTTATCTCGCAATTAGTGAAAATGTTAATATTATACATTCATATCTCAAATCTTAAATTAAATGTTCAATAAAATGCAGTTTATTTGAAATTAACTGCGGTCATGCATTTATGATTTTAGAAATATAACATTGTTATTTTCTTTTTTATCTTACAAATGTTTTGACAGTATCATTAAGGAGAAATTAATTCGAAACTGAGCAAATAATTTTAATTAAAAATATTTGTTTTAGCGTGATCTGTATGTCGGAGGATGCACATAAGATCTCGATTTAGCATATATTATTTACAATTATTTATTCACTGGAATTAATATTGGCGCCCGAAATAATGTGAAAGTTTCAAGAATATCTTTTATTTTATCTTTAAACATGTGTTTCACGTTTTATTATTGGTGAATGAGATGATTTAAATTTAAACATATGACAGTTGACAATTATTGTTTATCTTCGTAAATTTGCAGCGAATAAGTTTGATTTCTCAAAATAATACAAAGACAGCAATGACAGCAATATTCAATGCATAGTTACAATTACAGTTGCTTTTATAGACGATGTTTATTTTTTTTGTTGAATAAGAATTTCTTACACACTCACGCACACACACACACACACACACGCACACACACACACACACACACACACACATACATATATGCACTTTAAATGAAAAATTCTTATTCATCTAGGGACATAAACGGCTATTAGCTGTTTTTCGGTGAATAACAATTTTTTATTTATACAAGCATTTATATGTAAATATATGCACATATAAATAAGAAATCTTTATTCACAAAACAGCTAAAATGATATCATAAACGGTATTCGATCTTACGTTTAAGATTGTGTTAAGTCTGCTGGCCTTAGATGATCTTATTTTATCCGGCCAATAAAATGGCTTGCATCTCGAGATGCTCGTGCTTACGATAACTTTAAACATGAGATTAAAATATACCATCTGTAGATATGTTGAATATTATTGATCTTCCAAATATTTTTGCATTATTTTTATATATAATAAGCTTCAGAATGAGGAGATATTAAAAACTGATCCCTTGAACAAATTTTCATGATTATCAATAGGGTCTTGAAGATTTGAAAATAATTAAAGAGTAACAATATTTTCAACTGTTGATACACATTTTTTGATCGCCGATAATTTATAATACAGTATTAAATTTATAATTTATTATTCGATACATAAATGTTTTATAAATAATATTTTATTATCATGATATAAATGCATATTTATGATACAATTATGTATATATGTATAAAATAATATAAAGAATTAAATGTTAAATTTAACATTTCATTCATTCTACGATTATTCGTAAATCGCAAGATATTTTTATTACAACTTTTAATGCAATATATCCACATATTTGCTGAATTGTATTAATCATGAAGAATATACTTAGATATTAGTACTTAGACAATATATTCTTAATACAAATTGAAAATTGTACATGAAGGATTCTATCCATTATATCTGTGAGTCGTTTCTTTACGTAAAGAAAGAATGTACCTATTTGCATAACAACATGCTCATTAGCTAATGAGAAGATCCATCTTGAAGCCGTTTCTTTACACGGAAATATTACACAAGTAGTTTTTGTTGCATAAATTGTGCATTATTCCGTTATTACGTGATCAAGAACGTTTTAAACTTTAAATAATTACTGGCTAAGCAAGTAAGATTTTTCGAAATTTGCTTATTGTGCAACATTGTGTAATCGATGATTTACGCGTTGCGCTTATTATACATATATGCGCTTTGTTGCAACACATACATGGAGCTTTGTAATTTAAAAAACAAAAATCAAGTTTTTACAAATTCTATTTTATTCAGCTTTTTGAACAATTTAAAAAAGACATAGATATTGTATAAAACATTGTTTTATGCGTATTTATATTAAATACTGTAAAATCTAAAATAATTGACAAATTAACAATCTGCACAAGTAGATTGTGCATGCAGAAAGACGCCATTTGCACGGCGATTATTGCTCTGAAAGCACGCGACCGCAGATCATGAATATTCAAAATACAAAAATGTTGGGTTTCGTGTAAGCGAGCAAAGAACGCAATAACAATAATTATTTTTTCGAAGAAATCTATTTTGTCGATTTATTTAACAAACAGTTCTACATATTATATATAAATTTATGATTTCAAAGTTTAATACAATTGCATCATTAATAGAAAAAGATCTGTAAATATGTATATATAATAATTATATATAAAAGCCACGCGCTTTTCAACAGACATATATGCATATATTGTTCCTCTTTCTGAAAAAAGAGAAGATTGACAATAATCGCCATGCATCGATCATCTATTTTCTCCTCGATAAAATTATATATTCCATTTTTACGTTCTCTCATATGAAATCTTAAAAATTATCAAAATGAACGCATCATTACTAAAATAATACGTACGTAAGCTCTATCAAAAATGATATGGCTTACGTATTGTGCACCCATTTTCACTCTACCGATAGGAACCCGGAAATAGGACTTATGGCCTAAAATATTTCTTTTCCTTTTTCTCTTTCTCTCTTACTTTCTCTATCGCATATTACTTATATCATTCTCTTTCTTTGTAATATGTTGCTTTTATTGTCTTAATTTTATCTCAGACTTGTAATCTACTATATATATATAGAGAGAGAATCTAATTTATTTTTCAAAGTTTAATGCAATTGCTATTCTATTTTATTCTCTCTTTTTCGCGCTTGAAAACGCGGTTCTTTCTATATTCTGAAACTCAATGGCGCATTATTAAAACAATACGAATTACGTGTGTTCTATGGTATTTGTCTAATATATATGTATACTCTTATACTACAAAATATGTCTCTTTTTTTCGAAAATAGAACTCAATTAGAGGACGTAGATTGGATTTCGAAGAGGATATTTCTTTGTTCCATTTTATCGTCTCTATATACTCTTTATAAAGGACATTTTTATTATTATTATTATTATTATTACAATGAGAAGAAAGTTCTAACAATCTAACATTTCGATCCAACATCATGAATCTATTTTTGTAAAGCTGCGTGAATGTAGTTATGTGATTATTACAATATTAACAGCATTCAAATATAAATCAAATTTCAATTTTATATTAAACTTTTATTTAATTAAAATTTTTTTCACGTACAGAATTTATTTATCAGTTTAGGGAACATTTTACGTTTGTAAATGTTAAATGTTAAATGAAAAAGATATTTAGCATAATGTACATACATTATGCTAAAATTGCTGTAAAGAGTTGAAGTTAGTGACGATACCGCTCAGATCTAAATATACTATAAATTTTATTCTATCTTTAATACTGTTTAAAAAAAAAAATCATTTTTTGAAGTAGGCCAATACGAAAAGTGACGTGTATAAATCTTCTAAAAATAGAAAAGTTGTTTGCAGTCTTGTCGTTCGCATATCTTACAAAAATGTATTTCTTTAAAGACATATTGAGATTATTGCTAATTAATTATCAAATGTGTAAAACGCACAAGTTAATTATTAAAATAGTCACAATACATCTTTATGTCGTACCTTCCAACTTCGTATCCGCTAATAAAAATTTAATTTTCTAATTTTCTGTTTTGTGACATTTTTTTCACAAGATCTTGGCAAATTTTGCTGTCTTATTTTTTGCCAGTAGATAAAACATTAATAGACATCTGAATATTCGTCTTCTACTTCCGACTCTACTTCCCCTTTAGTTAATGTGCTAACAATTAATCGTGTCGGGACATTCCCCGGACATTCCCGATACTAGAATCAATTGAAACATCATTATCGCGCATGCTGACAAAATAGCGTGCGACGGTGTCTCGCGATCTTACTTACAGACTAGCAAGCGTGCATCACGATATTACTACACCTACGCACTTTTCTGCCTACTACTCTTAATGGATTAATCTTCTTTGTACATTATCGTGCATCATGCACTAGGAACAGACCAGCGGTTTGCGGTGAAATCACGCCGATTGATCATTATGTCTGAAGAAATCGGTCTTTCCATCTATGATATTTTCCAAAGTTAGCCACAAGTATCACAAGTATTCGAGTGAATCATTCGTTTCGTTTACATGTTTTCGATAAATTCGACAATATCTATCAATATAACAAATTTAACATTCTATTTATATTTATAAAAAATATAAATGATGATTATCTAATATTTTACAACTAATGTTTTCCATCCGACCAAATCTCTCTAAAATCAAATACATGCTAATGTTTAAAGAAAATTAACGTGATATTCAATCGGCATTCTTTCACGAAACGCAGTATCTTACAGATCGTTTTTCTTAGCAGAATCTCAAACACGCATTTATGCGGGCCGCAAAAGAACTTTTATAACGAATCAAGATGTTCGATTAATTTTGTAAAATTCCAAAGAATAAGATGATTTTGCGCTGGTTCCATGCGTAAAGTATATCAATATGCTAAAATAAAAATCTATTGTACGCGAATGCAACTTTCTTATCCATGGCTACGCGACGGAAAGTCGTGTCTGTTATGCGGCCCACGTGATCATATTTAGACCACCGTCTTACAATAATAACCCGATCGAGCGAATAAGCACGTAATAACTGAGGCATACGATTTCCACTTGTCATTCGCAAAATATGATGGTTTGTGTATTTTACATACACAATATACATATACAAGATATACAAGGTATGCGTACGACCACAAGAAATCGCGTACGCTAAAAAACCGTCCCGCAGTTGTAAAGTCTGCAAAAAGCTATACACGTACGGCCGATACGGCATGATTAAATAAAATGATCAGGAAAAAACAGGAGTAAAAGAACAATGTAAACACCATCCGTTCGTCATTAATGCAAATTGGAATTCCTAAAGGCCAGTACAGTATTCTGCTGTGTGCATATAATTAAAAGATAAAACATAAAAATTTGTCAAAAAAGACAGCAAACATCCTGCTTCTAAAAAATCTTGCTTCTAAAAGCATTAAATTAGCGCCAAAGACTTGTCATCTTTTTCTCTATAAGTTTCTGTTTTTAATAAAATTACGATTCTGTAATTTTCTTTTAAACAAAACAGGACTTTAAAAAATATATTTTCAAGATTAGAAAAGTATATTAAAGTATGGCTGTTTTAATAAACAAAATTATTTCTCGAAATTAATTCACATAATTTTGTTTTTCTATAACGTCACTTGATAGGCGTGATAACTTTTGCGCTAATCTAATATCTACTCTATCTTGCTATAAATAATGCTGATTCTGCTTGAATCTTGCAAGAACAATGTGCGAGAACAATGATAAATTATTGAGAGCGCGCGGTATGAAATTATTTCTCGAATTCTCTTGATCGACCGTACACTTCGCGCCTCGTCAATAACCGTCGCATGACGCGCGTAATACTAATTTGACTACTGTTAAGAAAATGATAAATGAAAGTTCGATTACGCGAAGACTTCTGCGCGAATATCTTCATTATTATCGTCATTCGTCGTCATCGTCGTCGTCAATTATTGTCATAGTTGTCGTACTACCGACAGGAAGGACGCGGCGATAAGGATTCGCGGAAGAAATCCCGTCCCGGACCCGGTGGCCTGTCTACTGACAGCATCGCGTCAGTGACGCGCGAGTGACGTCCAGCACGCTGTCATACGTGGTACTCGCCGTCTGACGACGTGCGTCAGACGACGAGCGGTATTTGCGAGCGGCCTTCGTGGACCGCTCCTCGCGCCAGACTCGGCGTCTCATTTCGGCCCTTCCAGGATCTCTTGGATACTGACATACGTGCCGGTGACAAAGCCTAATACGCCGAAAGAGATGATGGCGATATTCTTCCACAGCCGCCAGTTCCACTTGCCGAGACCGTTCTCCTGCTCCCAGACGGTTACTAGTTCGATCACCGACGGGAACATGAGACCCAACGTGGACAGGCATACAGCCCCGACGAGGGAAATAAACGGACCCAAATTCGGGATGGCGATCGCCACGCAGACGGTAAAGATTACCAACAGGATACGGATAAAGTATTCGCCCAGCAATCGTCGGGAGCCGAAATACTGCTTGAGGTTCTTCCAAATGATCTCCATCGGCACGTAGAATTGAAGTCCGTAAGTGAGGAAGATCGCAATGGCGATCATTACCTTGGCGGATTGTGCCAGCACCTCTTCTTGCGGGGGATTGAGCGTAATAGAGGCCTTCGTGCTCTCGCCATACTTCCAATAGCCGAAGAAACCGACGGTACTGTACAACAATACCACGCAGAACATGCCAGTGTTTAAAACACCCGGGCAACCGACGAAGTGCGACGGTGTTTTCATATTGTTCTCCAATGGCATCACCTAGAAGCAGATTATGGATTTCGATGATAAATAATGAAGTATATATGGAATTAAAAAGAAAAAATATACATAAAAATTTTAAATTTATAAATCATTTTTATTTTATCAATATAAAATGAGTAAACAACAGAATACATAATTATATGTATACTTTTTTAGATTTCAAAATACAAGAAAATACATAAAATATAATTGAAATAGCTTTAATATATTTCCTTTCTCTGGATTTTAATGAAAATTAAATAACGTTTTACTTAAAAAAATTTCTATGCTTAGATAATTTAATTTTTATAAGCATTTCACGTTTAATTAATTTCCTGATGCAAGATTAAGAAATCATAATCATTTTACATGAAGAAGAATTACATGTAGACATCGCTGCGTAACGAGAATTATGGAATGTTAACGTGGTTTTTCGTTATCAAGTTAACACGCGTCACGAATGTCCGAAACATTCCATGACGCACAGGTCAGGGCGTGCCATTTGATTTACGTGTGTCGATACTTGGAACAATCGAACATGACCGTTAAGTGTTCGGAACGTGTCTAGCAACTGAATGCAAAGTTATTTATGGCAGTGTCGTAATATCTTCGCGGTGATTGCACTGCGAGCATTCTAATCAAGATTCAAAATCAAATTTTTCTTCCACTTTTATCAATTTTTCTATAATTGTAAGCATCTCATTGGTCGGAAAGATTAAAAAAGTTTTGTAATAAATTACAAATTTTAATATTTTATTCGCGTCTAACATCATTTAAAATTCGTTATGATATAAGAATATACATAGAAAGAAATAATAAATATATACTTACAACACCGATGCCCTCGAGGGCAAAGATGGCAGTGCCGAAGAAAAGGGGCAGCTGAGACCAACTGGAGAAATTTGGTACGTCGCTGATAGTGGGCAGATCGTTGAAAATATAATAGAAGGTAATACCCATGCCGGTGGCGATCAACACGTTCGCCACCATCGAGAACGGCGCGAGATATTTGAGATTCCTCACAAGATTGAAGAGGATGAGCACTGGCAGCAACGCGGCCATGTACACTCGCAGATCCTTGTTCGTTCCCGTGTAATAGTCCACGACCTCCTTGAGATTGGTCGAGATAAAAACGATGTATACGCAACAGCAACCAATCAGGTCGATCACCAAGAATGAATTAATTGTCGCTCTGAAACAGCATTAAATAGCACTCAATACTTGTTATTAGTATAAAATAATGCAGAAAATTGGAATAGCAACGGAGACATATATCGAATTTTCATTAACAAATTCCGAAAAATAAATTGTACTTTAGATTTCCTAAATAACCTTGATGGTATAAATAAGAAAAAGTAAACGTATCGTCTCCTTTGAATAAACTCACTTGGCAAGTCTGGCGTATTTCTGAACGGGTTCGGGCCCCACCAGGAAGGCCGCCTCGGCCACGTCAGCGAAGCCCAGACTAGGTGTCTGCAACCGCCTGCACAGGAGATGGGCGGACTTGACCAAAATGTGGACGCAGTAGGTGCAAACCGCGCCGATGAAAAAGGTGGCGAAGAGGCCGAAGGTGAGACCGGCGTTGCGGAAGGCCATCGGCATCGCGAGTATACCCGTGCCCAAACTTCCCTTGAGCAGATGTATGAGCGTGTCGAGGTCCGAAGTGGGATGGGCGAGTTTGCGATGCTCGAACGGATTGTAAAGGGCGGCCTCCTCGTCGGTCGGTCGCTCCACGAGCGGCAAGGTCGAGCCGTTCGTGACCGTAATGGGCACGTCATTTTTCTCGCACTTGTATCTGCAAAACCGGCGGCGTTAGCATACCACAGCGTAATCGGCGGGCGAAACGATTTCCGTGAATGGGACGTAAATTATGTATATATATATACAGGGTGTCCCAGCAGGGATGTCGCGCCGTTTTTTTCATTTACGAATTATTTGATCTATTCGATAGTCAGAAGAAGCTGGAGATATCTAATCGTGACAATTATAGAACCGAAGAAAAGAAATGATATATATATATTTAATTAAATTCCTGCTGACACCTCAAAGAGTGCGTATATGAAAAAGGAACGGCGGGGGAAGTTTTTGCGACATCCCATACGTACAATTTATATGTATATTTATCTTGCGCGTGGGATATAAGTGTTACGTGGGACCTGGTTCTGTTTTACACGGTGTTTTCCTCGTGCCCGCGATTTTCATCATAACTTGATGCGAAGGGGGAATATAATGAGAGAGTGTGCCGTAGATAGGAGGATTCTCTTTCTCGCGCGCTTGCATGCCGAGGGAGACGGAGAGCGGAGGCGCAGACAGGGCGCGAGACGCATGCGAGAGCATGCATTCGGGGCATCGCCGCGGCAGGGATTTCGGGCATCTTTAACGGCGGTGATTTCATCCGTGAAGATGAGAGTTTTGCGTTACCTCGTTGTTAGGTAGTCATTATTGAGCTCCTGCATCAAAAGCGTTTTTCGATCAAGCCGGACAATATCGCGCGCAGAATGCGATATTAATGTGCAAAGCCGATCAAAAAAAAAGACGCATTATAGAGGAAGTCTCGAAATATGGAATATGTCCAATCTAAGAGCATAAAAACGTTCTATCCGATTATGAGCACAGAAAGATGTTCTTTCCATTTAATATAGAATTTATATTAGATTTTCGAAAGAAGAGTGTTTTTTCCCCGAATTAGAATTTCCGCTCTTAAATTGATGCTCTCTCGTTTTAAAATGACTTTAGAAAAAATAAACTTTGTACAAGCTTCAAATTTTTCAAATTTCTGCAGGCATGAAAACGTTAAACGTTATTAAGTGATTAAATAAATTGCAGAGCAGAGAAATTGACCTAGATTTCGATTTCCTAGATTGGACAAACGTCACATTGTGCGTATATTCAAATAATGTAAATGTTCTGCAAATATTTAATCTGTTCGTTGAATTTTTCGTTGTTTCTCCTTCTGCGTCTGACTCTCCGTCCGTTCGCACCGAGAGAAGATCGTGGGCGAAACAATCGTAAGTTTTAACGCTGTTTTACACGTTTATTAAACACATGTTGAGCCATTGCAAATCGGTTACTTAGAATTTCGTAAATCCATTGAAATCTGTATTTTTATCTCTTTTGATGTGCTTCGATTTGTATTCGAGGAAAAGCAGTTTGCCACTGTATTTAGAGTTACTGTGTCGAAAATATGAGTATTTTAAGAACAAGAGAATGGTATAAATGGCGCGTGTGTTTAATCAATTGTTTCATTCACATTTTATTGTTCTTTCATTACTGTGTCCTTCAGTATTATCATGTCTATCTATTCTCTCGGCGCGTCTACTCATTCACCAGTAAGTACTCCCTGGAATATATATGGAAAAAGAAGCGTAGCGCAAACCGTCGTTTTGTCGCTAACACGAGCGATGCGTGAAACTAGAATCGCATGACTCGGCATTGTCAGGCCACAATTGTCGATCGTAATCTAAAGTGGGATTCTTTACACGCAACAGTTTTTTTAGCCAAGTTTCATTGAGTTCGAATCGGATGACTCATTGTCAGTTCGCTATCGTCAGTTGGAATTTCAAGCAAAGCTCCGCAAAGCGAGATATCGTTTTGTTATTGAAATTTCTTGGCGATAATAGCGCCGAATGCTGAATTTGCGCATTCCGCGAAAATCACGCGTGTAAACGACGGTTCGCGTTATCCATCTCCTTTCTCCGCATTCACGCTCAATCGCAAACACACGATTATATCCTGAAAAAAGTCGGACGATAGCGGATAAGATGGATTCTGAGGGGAGTATGACGCGTCGGTTAATTAATAATTAACGGTTAATTCGAGACATGCAAACACATCTTCGCTTTCATTAAATGACATCCCATAAGTCGCGGAAAATTTTCTTTCTCCGATCTGCAGCCAATCGAAAACGCGAGTAATTTGCCGTATATAAGTATGACATATATGTGTGGATACGTATGTTGTGTGTGTATGTGTCGGTATGTATGAGCGCGCGTGCTTGTCACGTGTGTATGAGAGAAAAAGAATTGAGTAACGCATGTTCATGTATCAGGTTTATTTAAAAAAAGAAAATGCGCGGTATAGGTGTTTAGGTATTATAGGTACCCATGTCTTTTAGGTGCGGTAGTTTCTCTCTCCCGTAGTCGTGCGAAACTTTCTGTCGAGAAAGCCCCCGGGATTAGAGTCTGTGTGTGTCCGGTTGTCACGTGTTACAACGTGACCGTGGGGTTCAACGCGTCGCGTTACAGCCGTTACAGGCGTAATACATACAGAGGGGCAGCCGCAACCACCGCACTGCATCACCGCGACGCCCAGCGCCACGACGCAGTACGACGACTAACAAGCCTCCTTTTTGCTTGCCGAGCTTTTCGCACTTGGCCGAGCATTTTTTTATTATTTTTTTCTTTTTTTTATGTTTTGTTTTCGCTTTTACGCACGTCGATATAGATCTATCACCGAATCGATATGCCAATAATATCTCGGCTCTTGGCCACGGATTTTGCAACCGTCCGATGATATTTTCGTGTCGCGTCCAAGTCGGCATCGCGTCGACGTCGCGTCGCGTCGTCGTTTGTGCGAGTTTCATTGAGCTAAAAGTGTCAAAAAAAGCATCGATCCGACAGTGCCGCATTTTCTTATTTTTTTTTCTCAACGATAATATCTTTTTTTTTTGTTCTCTTTCGTTATTCGCAGAGCACTTTCATAGAGCCCGAATCTATGCCCGGAGTTTATACGCTAGTCTGGAATCATATAAATGCACATATTATACAGTAAAGACAAATCCTTTATCCTCTGGGAATATATTCTGCTTTGCATACCGCATGACCTCTACACGAAGCATTCTCGATCAGCGACGGAGGAGAACCACAACGATTCTCCTTCTGTTTGCCGTTTTTTTTTTTGCGAATAAAACGACCGATGTTATTCGCAAAATTATAAGCTGTGAATACGCGCAAGAACGATAATGCGATGCAAATTGATCTGGTTAATCCAGCGTAATGGATTTTCTTTTTATTGGATTTCTTACGAATATCGCTCGCTTAAGATAATATCTGCACCGCTCTATTGCACGTAAAAAGCGAAATTACGATTTACATATATTTCATTGAACACCATTTTTGCGACTATAGAAATTGTCAGAAAAATTGGACGCGAGACTTGTCGCAAATTAATTTCACTGAGAATTTAATAATTTATTCTAGATATCTTGAAAGAGAGAGATATAACTTTGTCATCTTACGTAAGTTATATCACGTTCGTCGCACGCGTAACTTTGGTGCTTGAAAGTCGTAAATGGCTGAAGAGGAGAGTAGGAGAATTAAATGGAATTAGAAATCAGTCGGCCTTGGTGAACAATTGACTGATACGGACATTCCGTTTAGTGAAATTAGAACAGCGCGAGTCGCGATACTGAGAATAATACAGGAAATCCGGGATAATGCATAAATGCATAAGCGCGAAGGTGTCAAAGATCAACTGACCGCGCAATTCGCGTAAACTGTTTCAAGGTCACGAAAAATTTGCACGTGCGAAAAGATCATTGCGTAAACGGGTTTCGACGACTGACGGGCAAAACGGCAGCAGAGAGGAGTCTCGTCTCGAGCGCAAAGGATCCAAAGATTTCGTAGCAACCGCACCGCTAAATCGGTCGACGAAGGAAGTGAACCGTCTGCATAAACGTTCGCGATTTTATCGCCGTTCTTCTCCGTTTGATTGCCATTACCACATTTTACGCGAAAAAGCAAAAGATAGATTTCTTCATCGTTAAAGAAGATATCGAAAATTTTCGTCCCATTTTGGAAAATAAAAACTTTTATTGCGCGTAAAAAAATGTTTATAGAACAATGAATAATTTTCTTTTCAATTTATAGGCATATCCAAATTCTAAATATTACATTTATATTAAATAATTTAATTATATTGCGATAACAATCTGACGCATTGTCTGATGAAATAGGAGCAACGTTTAGGCAAAATTTTTTTATATCAATCATAGTTTTTATTTGTCTGTTATGATTATTTGCCTTGTGTGTAATATCGAAAGAGAAACCTTTTGACTATTCGTTTGTTGCTTATCTGCCAAGTCGAGATAAACTCTTATTATAGACGTATGGCTAATGTTCATCGTCGCTTGTCTATTCATATCATGAGAGAGACATTTTTTTTATTATTTGCAAAATGACAATGATTAAACACGATTCGCACATTGCAAATTCGACAAGTTTTAATTTAGTTTTTAGTTTTAACCCTTAAGACATCACTTTTTCTTTGTTACGAATAACATCAATTTGACGAATCGATCAAATTAATTATAACACTTAAAAGTAATGACAAATTATAAATTTACTGCTTGACAGAAAGAATAAAAATAAAGTAAAATTTAAAAGAAAAAAAAATATTTTATTAATGTACATGAAAAAAGAAGGCTATATATTCTTAAGTAAAAAAGATATTTTTTGGACACTACGTTTAGATAACGGTGTCATAAATCTCAGTTATGTCTTGAGGGTTAACGAGGCCTTAATTAAGCATGTTTTCAATTAAATGAATTTCTCGTTCGCACGATGTAAAGGAACATGATACAGTAAGCAAGTACATATCCGTACGCAACACAAACGAGCAACTTCGCAATCGTCCAAGATTCAGCAGGCGGTTGTCAAGCATCCCTGGTGCCAGCTACGCTACGAATTCTACGTCAGCGATCAGGCGGTATGCACGATTAGTGTGTAGTACTAATTAGAAATAGTTTAACGATAAAAACAACGGAACAAAAAAACAAAACAGAGGAGGAATGAGTAAGTCAATTAAAATATATAACCATAGTAATATTATAGTATAGCACAAGAGAATGGATAGAGTACACAGATTAACGGAAAAAAAAAAAACGTAAATGCACAATATATGATCCTCGGGTTTGTTCTCACTCACGTTTGCTTGAGCATTTGGGTTTGGCAAGAAAGCAATGGTGATGATTGGTCGTGGTAGCAGATAGTGAACACGCTCAACTTAACGTTGAGCCGTTCGTTCGCGTTGATTTTTATAGCGGAATTTTGAGACTTACTTGACAAGCACCACGTCTGAGAGTTCTGTTTTCACACCCTGCTTCTTCGGCTCGTATTCCGCTATCATCGGGCGCATTGGCGTTCTCTGTAACAGAATAAGAGGGTCGAGTTGAACTGAACGAATTACACGTTAACCGACGTACGTACGTCGGCGCGTGAACAAGCTGGTGTGTGCGCGCGCGCGATTTAATTAAATGGGTCGAAATAAACGCGCGTTATCGGCGAACGCGGTGAACACTTTCGAATGCACCGAGACGTCGACGATGACCCATTCGTGATTGTTTCTCTTGGAGGGGGAGCAGATTGGGACAGGTCAGTTTTATACACCGATATTAAGCGTATATATTAGTCTCGCATCTCCGATGCGTCGAGCTGCACATGACGCGCTCCGTTATTTATTGGCGTTTATTTTATGAATTTTATGATCCGTTTGAATTATCGACTCGACGTAACAGTGCCAACTTTTCGGTATCAGCCGATGTCTTGTCATAATATATTACAAGGAAATTAACTCGTTTAATAACGCGCGAACTAAAAAAAAAAGACGTAAAAAATTGAATTACTGTTTCAACGGCGAATTATTTCGTAAAATTTATGTCTATTATAAATTGTGCTTAGATATATTTTGAGTTTTGCACTTTTTTGCGACAAATATTTTAATTCTTTGTTTAATAAATTACCTTAATGTTTAACCGAAATGATTCATATAATTTGTATTCACCATAATATGGGGACGATCGTTCGCCGTCATCACTGACAGCGAGCTCATTTCCACATCGTGGGAACTGTCGGTGTTCCCCATGTTTGTCTTTGCCTTCTCTTTCACCCTTTGAATGTATGGCGTGTATTAATCCTGATAAAAACCTCGTTGAGACTTCGTAGAAGGACGAATGTCATTCGCACCACATGTTATCCATTGGATACATTATTTAGAGTTTACGTCAACACCCGGCCATCCGCCCTAATAGATTTCCGGTCCGGAGTACGTATACCAATTATACGATAAGGAGGAATAAAATCAGACCGCGAGGAGCGGAAACGTCGGAACGCTCGTGTGGTACCACTTTTACAGGAATTTCCTTCCTCTTGGAAAAGAACGTTCCTCCGCGAATAATCGCGAGAGCATCACATCATCCACGTTCGGGTGTACGTTCACATTCGCGTTCGTATCGCGATGGTCGAAGAGGTACGCGACGAGGCGAGGACGAGGAAGTCTATCTTGAGACGCCCCGCCTGCGACGCGGCGTCCAGAGAGGAACGCGAAGATCGACGCGCCGACGCGTGTGCAAAACGGGCGTCGCGACGACTGAATGTCCACGAAATGCCGACGGATAGACTAAACTCCGTGTCCTCTCTGTGTTCTGGACGCTCTATCCGCGAGCGGGGGATAGAGCGTCCGCTATCCGGGGCCCGCTCTATGTACGGCGCCGCGCGCGGCGCAGAAAAGCGCGGTTACCGCTGCCAAATCTTTCGGCGACGTCCGCCGAGGACGGGTTCTTTATATACCGAACGACTACGAAAATAGGAAGAGCAAACCGACGCGCGGTCGCGACTCACGTGAGCCGTACGTCTCTGCCGGCCATCTGACCGCTAACCAGGTTTAAACAGGATCCTGTTTGAACGACGTGACAGACGGGGCCTCGAATCGGCCGCCTCCGCGGTTTGGCTCGCAAATTAGAGGGTACGCGACGCTCGTTCATCAACGACTCATTGCTCATTGCATTGTGGAAAAGTAGAAAAATTCGCGTACCTGTTATACCAAGTATGACATAAGAGAATGACATAAATCGAGAGAGAAAAAAAAGAGAAAAATTTTTATTTATGCATTATCGTTTAGATGTGTGTAACTGCGAGACAATCCATATATAAATCCGTTCTTTCAGTTTACACAAAAAACTTCAAATCCTGCGACATTATTTTTCTCGTAAAACTGAAATATTTTTCAGATGCCAATGCTGACGCTCCAAAAATATATGTATCTTCGGGTACGATAGTTATACGACTCTCGTCGTTTCACGTTAGGGTCATTATGACGATTTATATGCCATGCCGGTCGATAGAGCGAATGCGCGTGCAAACAGAGGGAATCTACTGTCATTTAGAGTACTGCTGAAAATTTACTATGTTGAGTCTAAAAATGTACGCGAAACGTCAATCGTTATACGACAGACGCAATCTATCAATTTGAGTAAATTGCTAATCGAGTATAAAAATACTCATCTCGCTGCTTTACAAATACCTTTACGAACATTTTTTTAATACTCCTAAGTATTCCTTTTTTTATACTCTTAACCACCAAATACGTCATCGAATTACATAAGCGAATATGTGTGTGTATTCGTTGTGTTTGAGCCAATATACATAGCGGACTCCTGAGATTATTTCGAGATGATAGTTCTAATATCGAAATATCAAGGTTACAGTAGTAGTTCTTAAATGAAAGGTGTTTAAAGTTAGTCAAATTGTCTAAAACTTGTGGCCATAAATTCGTTACAATTTTGTGTTGTCGAAAGTCCGTTGGCTGTCCGTATCGCATAACCCACACGTCTCGGTTATTTTGGATGAGTTCTTGGGAAGTGTCGTTGCAAGGCACGAGATATACATCCGTAACGACGCGGCGCCTACGCGTAACATCCCGCCGTGTTCCGGTCACGGTAAACATCTACAAACCCGGTCGTCTCGGCGGCGACGCATTCGCGAACGCTTACGGCAGAGGAGAAACCCGGTTCTCGCCATTCTTTCCAATTACCCACCTCTGTATAGGTCGGCCTCGTGCACGAATTCGGCGTCTATTTTTGCCCCGCGGCGCCTCATCGAGGCGAAAACGAACCGACGCGTAGCGTTCTCCATGCGATGAAATAGGGAGAGAGTTTTACGTTGCGTTTTGCGCCACAGAAACTTCATTCCGCTCTCTTTGTTTCCCTTTCTTAATTTCTTATCAGAGTAGTTGAAGTCGGCGTTATAATGATTGTGATATCTTTTTACTATAGTCGACTTTATAAAAATTGAAAATAACAATGATAACAATTATGAAACTGGCAGGTAATATAGTTTTGATTTAATCAATTATATTTGAACGCATTTAATCTTTTCCAATATTACAAAATTACAGATTAAATTTTCTATTTTTGTTTTTCTGTTAAGTACATCCGGATGAATTTCTTATAAAACTAGATCTTGAGAGAGAAATAATCGGTTATTCAAAAAATCGGAATTATAAAAACCCTATTTGTCGTAAAACATAAAGATAATATTATAAAAAGGCGCTAATTACTTTGCCATTGTACGAATTGAGTGTTATTATCGAAAGTATTAAAAACGAATTCTCGAGTCTCACTTCGCAGCAAGTAGCGAATATTCCAACGGTTTTAAACCACGTGGCACTTTGTTAATGAATGAGACACAGCCATAGTTCTAACGCGATAAGCGGAAACCTCGAAAACCACGCGGACATAGGGTAGCCTAATCAGCGATGGAAAGAAGGAAGGGATAAAAGCGATATCGAAATGGGGGAGCCAAGCGGCCGAGGCCTTGAAGGCTAATCGTGCACGGTCGTTGTGTCATTAGCGACAAAATATACATACACAATTCCACGAGCAAACACAGGCACGAGATAACACAGCTAAATTCGTGACAGTCGTTAAATGTATACTGATATTGAGCAACCGTGCAAATTGTGGTTTTGTCGGCATATTACTTTTTCGGGTACTTATTGTTTTGCGTGTGCACAATAAACGGCACGAAGTAGACGCTTTTGCGTCGTTAATATTGAGATGAAGCTTGACAATCGCGAAGAGAATTAGCTCTGTTGAATTTATTTGTAAAACAAATATCTAAAATTATTATAAGTATAGTAAACTTCCCATACTTTTTCATGCAAGATATGAAAAAAATAGATTTGTTTTTTTATTGTAAATTATGTTTGAAGAAGAGAGAAAAAATTATTATTTAGTTTTATTGCCTTTTTTGATTAATTTTATTTATATTTATTTATTTAATTTATTATTTATATTAATTTATTAAAGATAGTTGCTTTTAATTAAAATTCTCCTTATAATATTGCAAACTAGTTTGAATTCGCATAATACCAATCGGAAAAAACTCATCTCAAAATTAAAAAAGAAAATAACATATGTCTAGACAGCAGATAATTAAATCTGTTCACGCGAATCGAAATAATTATTGTTGATAGCATTGAAGAAAGATGTATGAATAATTTTATAGCTTCGTGGTTTAAATTATCAATCCTTAAAGAAATGTTAAACTGATTTTTAAAAAAGTGATTAGTTATTTTGAATTGACAAAAATACAAAGTTCAGAATAAAAATGGACATAAATCATTCAGTATTATTAATTTGATGCTATTTTGTATATGAATTTATAATAAGTTATTATACGTACTATTAATATTAATAATTTTATGTATTTTATTATATTTAGATATGTAAAAATTCTTACAAAATTATTCAATTATTTTGAATTAGAAATTTTATATTGAAAGACGATAGTCTATTAACTGTGCAATAAATAGAAATATACGTTACACGAGATCTATATATTCTAAATTGATAAATTTGATGGACCTCTGCATTCAATGATCAAAGTCTAGACTGATGAAACGCGACAATATGATTCCGATAGATATTTCGATCGTCACTAATGACCTATGTACCATTGAAAAAAATTTAATCGATTCAAACGTTAATAAAAATGATTGTATCTAAATATAAACTCGCCCTAACGAGCGAGTCCCGAATCATAAATCGGCGCAATGGGCTCTCTATTGAACGAAATTGCGACATATTAAAGGTCGCGGCTTTTGCGTTTCTTTCGGCACAAAGCATGTGACTTCAATGCCACAATAACGGCGAATTGTGAGACCCGGTCTGAATGTGATTGCTGCTCTCCCAACCCATCGCGCCGCGTGTCTGTATAGATATATACTATATATAGATATGTATATATGTATACACTCTAATGCGAATCAGCTAGCCGTCGGCGACGGCGGCGAAATAACGAATTGACAAATCTGACAGCAACGTCACATCCTCATCCCGACAAACGGTGCGTTACGCACGGCTGCACCCGCGTGGGAGTCTCGCACTCTCGTTCCTGCTGCCCCTGAATTATGTGCGCATGTATTACACGGCAGTGCTTCTCAAATTGGCACGCAAGAAAGAATTTGGACTTACATCCAAAATTTTATTTTACAAAGAGTTTCAGAGCCTTAAGAATTATGCCTTACAATGAATTAAAATTTTTTAAGGATCGTTTTTTTAATTCATTTCATAATTTTATTTTAATTGAAATTAATTTTTGTTTTAATTCAAAGCAGATGAATACATATAAATGTATAAACTTTTAAAAAAGCTTCAAGTGAGAAATAAAAGTGAAAACTAAAAATATCTCACTAATAAAAGAATTTAAGGTACAGACTGTTACATGGCTGTCATACAGCATACACGTGCGCAATGCATGTATATTACCGTTGAACTGACTGGTAACAGCATTGACCTTCTTAATCTGGTTGCGTGGTTCGGCTAAATCGCGACCCGGACGAATCAGATTCGTGCAATTATGCCTTGTCACTGGAGACAATGAAGCGGCGGAAACGTTGGAAGAGTAATAGACGCCGCAATTTAAACATAATTTTATGCACTCAGAACGATTCGCGGAAAGTTCTTATTTTTGTCATCTTTTTTTTTTGCTATTATCCGATCTTTCCGATTTCTGCGTTGCTCGAATGACTAATCTCGGCTGGTCTGGTCCTTATATAACAACCAGCGTGAAAAGGCTGCGCCCAGCCTGCGTCCCCTCACGTGGACACGCGCGGCGAGTCTCCTCTACCAGCGATTCGCACAGATCGCTATCGTTGCTTCATCTCGTTTCAGAAGGACGTCCAGTTTCATTCGGACACCCGGTATAGTGTCTCGAGACGACTCGCGTGACTTCTATTTCTCGCAGACCACTGAACTCCCTGCGAGCTCAGCAACCGAATGCCCGCCTCGTGTTCTCGCCGCTCAGTGACTACGACACGTGTGCACTCACACAGGAAACTTAATTGCGAGCGCGAAATAAATGAATTTGTATTAATACACTGGCGCGTGAATCATGTCTACTTGAAATTCTCTCTGTACTGTTCTATAATTATATAATTTGCACTCGCGCACATTGTCAGCAGAGATCATGTATTGAAATTATAAATGCGTATAACACGACTACGTTCCAATGTTCGATAATAAGCACGTTTAACACACGTAATGGTGACATTTATCAAATATGAGCCAAACAGTAGAAAATAATTACTTTGTTTAATTTTTTGCGCTATAAATTTAGAAACGTAAGAAAAATGAAAGGTCAATTTCAAGCAAACAGAAAGATTGTAAAATCAAATTTAATTTATTTCAGTCGCATAGGAAATGAGTTCGGAACGTTTCGATTTTACGAAGTCATCCTCAGCAAAATCTCGAACAAAATCTCTACGTATTAATTTCTACTTGAAATTATTCAACGAGCAGAGAAAATTGTATCTTAATTTGCGATTGTTTGCAAAATTAGCGGAAGTTTAAATATATGAAGCTAATTGAAGCGTTCCATTAAGCTTTAATAAAAGAAAAAACCATGCTTAATGCAAAGAGCATGTTTAGTCAAGGTCACGCCTTAGTACACACCCAGAACCGACAATGTTTCCTTACGGTGACGGAAATTAGCGGCGCCCA